GGTCATCATCCTAGACTACCATAACACAAAATATATGGTAGAATGCAGGTAAAACCATGGAGCAGAAGACATACAATTCTCCTCCAAGGAGTTCAGTCACAATTTAATTAACGCATTTTTTTAAACAAGTGTCATCAGCATGGAAGCATGTCCTCTGGAATGGTGGTCGAAGCATGAAGAGGCATATAAATGTTTAGCATATCTGGCACATAAATACCTTGCAATGCTGGCTACAAAAGTGCCATGTGAACACCTTTTCTCACTTTCAGATGACATTGTAAATAAGAAGTGGGCAGCATTATCTCCTGTAAATGTAAACAAACTTGTTTGTCTTAGCAATTCACTGAACAAGAAGTAGGACTAAGTGGACTTGTAGGCGCTAAAGTTTTACATTGTTTTGGTTTTGAGTGCAGTCATGTAACCAAAAAAATCTACATTTGTAAGTTACGATAAAAAGTCACGATAAAAAGATTGCACTACAGTATCCATATGAGGTAACTTGAAAAATACTATTTCTTTCGTTTGTCATTTAAAAAATGCAAATATTTGTAATCAAAGTAATATAAAGTGAGCACTATACACTTTGTATTCTGCGTTGTAACTGAAATCAGTATGTTTGAAAATGTAGAAAAATATCCAAAAATATTTAATACATTTCAATTGGTATTCTGTTGTTTAATAGTGCGATTAAAACTGCGATTAATCGCAATTAATTTTTTTGAGTTAATCACGTGAGTTAACTGAAATTAATCGACAGCCCTAAAAATTATAAAGCTAACTTCCTTAATCTCTGTGGATAACCTGTCATTAAATAATTGTCTGACACCCCCCTCATAATTCCCCACAACTGTAAAAATTTAAATAAATAAAAATGTAAAAAAAAAGTTTAAAAACTGTTATTTTGAACAACTGTGAAAATTTAAATCGACAGAAATCTTAACAAATACTTAAAAATAAATATCAATATTATCCATAAAAAATATATATATATTGTGACAGACCCAGACCAGTGGGGTACAGGAGTCTGGTAGAGGGCAAATATCCTGGTCACTGGATAA